TTTTTTTTAAATTCTGTCTCTCAGAGTGGGAATGCACCTACAATGTGAATTTCAGACCCCTCCATGATTTCTAAGTGGGAGAACTTGCAAAATCGCAGGGTGTTCAAATACTTCTGTTCCTCACTGTACATACCAGCATCAATCCTAATAACTGAACTAGCAGCAGGCTATAGGCTAGAGTAGTGGCAGTAATTCTGTGCCAGTGTCTTTAGTTGGAGAAATCTGAGTGAAGGCTCGCTGAAAGGATCTGAGTTCAGCCCTCTGGAGTTTTCTTGTAAGCACGTTATGCTTACAGTGAACTGTGTAAACTCTTCAGGCCTAAAAATGTACTGAAGGCTTTTTCTTTCTCCTAAACTTTCACAAAGCCAGCATTTAAAAGCAACATAGGGAAACGAGCAGTCTTCTTTCCAGAGTTGCCAACTGTTGATTAGTGAAACTGTTGACAAGGAACATCAGAGCCTCGCTTTTTAGAAGCCCTTGTTTTAGCAAAATGCTAGTTTAACTTGGCAGACACTGGGTGATTTAACATGCAGGCCAAGCTAGCAGTGAATGCAGTGTTTCCTGCCAAAATTACACCACTCTTGTTTCACCTGCCACTTCTGCAGTTGGCAGCCATATGGATCACCTGTATGCTTGTGTAGAACACAGGATGGAAACAGAAAGAGGGACCACTGAGTGTATATAAGAGAGAGACTCACTCATGAAAACAAAGCTGTATAAGGTTCACACATCACCATTACAGTGGTGGCTTGTTCACTGTGATAAACAGTACTGTATGTTTTTGGTTTTCTGTTCCAAAGCATTGACTGTGCTGGCATCCTGAAGCTGCGTAACGCCGACATCGAGCTGAAGAAAGGGGAAACAGACATCGGGCGCAAGAACACGAGGATTAGAGTTGTGTTTAGGGCTGCTGTCCCTCAGCCAGATGGACAGATGCTGTGGCTGCAGACAGCATCTATTCCTGTGGAGTGTTGTGAGTCACCTGTTAATGTATTTACATGTGATTTTGTTATCCAGCAAAGTAACCAGTACATTGTATTGAGCAGAGAGTGGCTCACCAAATGGTTAAAGGTTTTTTATTTTTAAACCAGATCATAACAGAACAAGCAGAGGAGTCAATTTGGGGGGTTTGAGACATTGCTTAATGTGTGTGCAAAGCACTGATAAAATCAGATCATAACCAAAAGTCTCCAGAGCTTCTGCTGTAGCTCCACAGTGTGCTCAGGTGCATCCTCACAGCAAGAAGCTTCTGGGTTCGAGCCTGGGCTGACCCGGGGCCTTTCTGTGTGGAGTCTAAATGTCCTCCCTGTGCCTGCGTAGGTTCTCTCCGGGTGCTCCGGCTTCCTCCCACAGGTTGACCGGCGCCTCTTAAGTTGCCGTAGAAGTGTGTGCGGTTGTTTGTCTACATGTCAGCCCTATGACAGACTGAAGATCTGTCCAGGGTGGACCCCACCTCTCGCCCAGTGTCAGCTGGGATTGGCTCCAGGAATTATTCAGGAATAACTGGTGTAGATAATGGATGGACAGCTGTGTAGACATGACAGTTTTATTAAACCTTTAGATTAAATCTCAATAAAATATAAGAACCCATTAAACTGTGCTCAAGGTGATGGGGTGTGAATACTTTGTGAACCCGCTGTGTATTTAAATACCAGAACAAGAACTGTGTTGTGTTTCAGCCCAGCGCTCTGGTCAGGAGCTTCCTCAGGTAGAGAGCTTCAGTCCAGCCAGCTGCTCGGTGGTCGGAGGAGAGGAGCTGCTCATCACCGGAGCCAACATCTCCACGCAGTCCAGGGTTGTTTTCATGGAGAAAGGGCCTGGTAACATCAGCTCATTTATTTCACCTTAAGTAACTTTACATCAGATTTTGTTCATGTTAATTGTAGCTGAAAAACAGGTGGAAGAACACTGTGGGAAATGGACGCCAGAGTTGTGCCAGAAAAAAGCAGTGGAGTAAGTATAAACATTACCTGAAAACAACACTGAAATATATTTTGCATTTGAAAATATCAGTGTTTACAGATAAAAGTAACAAGATCCCTGTTACAGAGTTAGGATGTGAGTAGTAAATATGAAATATAGGAACAATGGAAAAATGTGCCACATGCAGTGTAATATGGAATGTCTGTTTAAAATACCTGGAAACTTACAGTGCACATTCTAACAGTGATTTCACATACAACAGCCGGTCCTGATGTCAGGCCAAGCATTTGCTCCTGAACTGGGAGTATGTAATGTGATTTGGCAAGAAAACCTTTCTAATAGATCTGACAAAAGACAGGACACAGGAAGAGTGAAGACAACAAAAATCATCATCAGGTTCATAATTGAGATAAAGTTTAACTGAGTTACTCCAGGTATACTGTGGTTATAGAGGGCACACCTTGGTATAGTTATAACTCATAATAATATAACAAAAATCCAGAGAAGGAGAAAAACGGGGGGATAGTCCTGTCCCTGATCAGCCTGGGGCCACCCCCAGACTCCTGGAGGAGTGCCGTCCCACTGCAAATAGCTGCACTACCTTTCTTGCGTTCAGAGCAGGGCCCGCTTATTTTGTTATTCTAAATCAGGTTTCCCTGGTTCTTACTCCCTGAGACTACCGCACCTGCTCTGTCTGAGGCACCGCTTATTTTGCTTAGGAAGGCTCCATAGACCACCTGCATTTCCAAAAAAGTAGGACAGATTATTAAATGCATTTAATAAGCTGGTGGTTCCCAGTCTGCTTGGTTTGTGACCACAGTGTGTAGTTGTCTTGTCATGTTTCAAACGTTTCCTCTCTAAACCTCTACTTTAAATTGAACAACAGTTTGAGTCTAAATGAGATCCAACCTACCCATTTCACAAAAAAGGAAACTAAATATAGTGAATCAGAGCATTATTAGAAACTGGAATAACAGCAGAAGGGCTGCAGGCTGCAGAGTGTCATGGAGGGGGGTACAGTAGTCAGCTGGATGTTTGCAAACACATTCCTCATACCAGTCATGTAATATCAGGTTGTGTCCTCACCTGCTTGTTATAGATATGTTTTTACCCCAAGTGGTCAAAAATGAATGCAGTTTTATTTATTGAGACCCATAAATCACTTGAGGTTTGGTTGCATGAGTGCATCTGGATCACAGTGTCGATCTCAGAGAAACTGACTGTAGTTTTTAACATCACTTGAGATGGCAAATGACGATTCCCCAGAAAGGAACTGCAAAGAGGAAGTTAACGAGAGCTTGTTGAAACCACAGTGACACTGAGTGCGAGTCTGAGGGAGACGATGGAGGAGTCACCATGTCATCACTGAATATCACTGAAGACAATTTGTGGTAGATTTTGTAACTTGAATGTGAGTGCGACTCTTTACTGTGTTTCTGCTGCATTTTGATCACTGTGTAGTTCCTGTTTTGTAAACACTGGCAAACACTGAAATGCTACCCAATACATCTGTGCTTCTGTTGATTTTGAAATCGTACTCGTCTCTCTTCCCGGAAAGTGTCAAAAACATTCTGCTGACCAATTTGGCACTCAGGCTATACTAAAGGTATAAATAACAGTTAGGAACAGGTGAACTAAACCACTGGTAAGCTTAATGCAGCCATCATTCAGGCCAAACCTTACAAAATATAAGTGTGTTAGCACACACAGTACAGATTTCTTTTGGATTCAGCCACGAGAAGCAAAATTTCACAGTATCTGTTGTTTGCTATAATCAAAGAGAGACTTCTTTACATTCAGCAAACGTCTTCCAGAATCACTGTGGCCTCGGACATTCCCACAAAGGGGATTATGGTACCTTTTGCCTCCACCTAACATCTGGAACATCAGGGAATATGTGAGATGTTCTGACAGGCAGTTTGTGTTTCTGTGTTTCAGTCCAGCATTGTGGTGGAGATGCCTCCTTACAACAGGAAGACATCAAGTCCAGTCCAAGTCCAGTTCTACATCTCTAACGGAAAGAGGAGAAGAAGTCTTGCACAGAGCTTCACCTTCCTGCCTGCAGTCATACATCAGCTAGTCAAACAGGAGCACTGGGAGCCGGACCACATCTCCCACAATCCAACTGGATTCAGCCCAGATATGGCTTACTATGATTCCTGTGACCACCCAGTGCATTCTGACCCTCCTTCCCAGAATGCATCTCATCTCCATCATCCTCCTGGCCCCCTTCAGACCCCTTTAATGTTTCCTCACAACTCCTCCATCCCACTTCACACCTCCTCCTCCATGCCTCCTCAGGCCTCCTCAGTACCCCATCAGACCTTCGCCATTCTGCCGCAGACCTCCTCGGTCCCCCCTGAGATCTCCATGATGCCTTCTCAGACCTCTTCAGTGCTGCCTGAGACCTTCACCCTCCACCCACAAACCTCCTCGCTGCCTCCCCAGACCTCCCCTGTTGGACCTCAGAGAGTAGAGTCTTCATCTCTGAGGTCCAGTACAGCCTTTGTGACCACTGTTGACCCTCACAAGAAGTCTGTGCTCTCCAGCTCAGGAGAGGCACTGAGTATCAAGCAGGAGCCAGAAGACCAGCCAAATCTGGGATCCTTGGGCTTCCACGAGATCACACTGGATGACGGTAAGGCGCTTCATTAATTAACAATGCCTCTGTAGCTATGAAAATGTGTTATCTCCTTCTCATGAGAGCAGCAGCTCGGATAGAATTCGAAATCTGCAGAAAAAAAAAGCATCTTCATAGAGTTATCTTAAATAACTTCTGCAGCATAATCCATGTTTGGCAGAGGTGGAGCAGTCAGCACACCTCTGATGTGGCTATTTAAAAGAGGTACACAGTGGGGTTTTTTTGGTAAAGCCGGGGTCTGCTACTTTGAGAATTGCGTGAATTTGGGCAGAGAATTGGAAAAAGGACAACGCCCAGGTCCCTCCGCCTCCTGCGGCCCCTCCCCATGGAGAAGGGTCATGTGCATGCGGAGACTAGTAACAATGGCAGCATGTTACCCCACATAGCTAGATAAAAATGTTTTCCAGTAACTGTACCGTTGTTGTATGTCAGCAAATACCTTGTCCTCATTTCATTGGCTGTGTTTAGGAATAAACAATCTAACTTTGTGAAAACAGCTATGTTATAGCATTTCTGAACATGTAGCAAAAGCTTCATATTGACTTGTTTGCTTAGTTAGCTAACAACCAATGTTAGGACATTACTTTGGTAGCCTATATACAGATAGGAAAACCAGAAAATTTGCATTTTATTTAGATATTGCACATTTCTAGTCTGTGTAGAGTTGCTGTCTGTTTCATATCTAGGGGTTGGGCCCCTCCAAACGGTCACCAGTTTAATGTGAAGGGTCATCACATGATTCATGGAGAGGACAGAAAACACAGCACTGCTAGACAAGTGTGTATTTAATTTTGGGACTATTTATTTTTACCATCTTAGGCCTTAAACAGATATTTAAATGTGACCATGGGAGAATATTAAGGGGAACTCACTCTTTGGTGAATGCGCTAACAGCTCCAATGTCACAAGCTAAAATGATCAGAAACACTGGTTTAACCTCTGACAATGTCTTGTAGCATTGGGGGTGGAGAGCCACCTGGCGGGATCCCCCATGATGCCCCTCTGGGCAGACTGTAAATAGTTAGGATAAGGATAGGATAATCACCTTTATTGGCCAAGTATGTTACACACAAGGAATTTGTTTCCGGTACAGAACCGATGGCAGCCATCTGCGGTGCCAACTCAACCGATGGGTCTAACCAACGGGGGGGGTTCAGTGTCTTGCCCAAGGACACTTCGACATTTGGACTGCAGGCACCGAGATTCAAACCTTCAACCTTCTGGTTGGGAGACGACTGCTCTACCCACCGCACCACTGTCGCCTCCCCATAGTTGTGGGTTTGGCGGGGATTGTGTGTGTTCAATGTGTTCTGTTGTTGCTGCGTCTGTAATAAAATAGCGGCTCGACAGAGAGCAGAAAAGGCAGTCTGTGTCCACAGCTCCTTTTTCGACCCAGCTGACGTTACAGTGTTTTACTTTTCACATGTGAACTCTTTACATGACACCTTGCTGCCAGATAAATGTAGTGTAGTAACTAGAATAAATTAAACTGCACTTAAACACAGTACTTGAGTAAATCTACTGAGTAACTTTCCAGCAGTCAAGAGGGGAAAAAAAACTCATGTCAGATTGTCATTTCATGGGCAGTCTGCTGTTGTGTTACTTTGTTTCACGAGCTTAAGGTTTCACAGCCTAGCTATGAATAGGCTGAACGGAGCCGTTTGCTGCCTGTAAAGGGACTCAGACCAGGCAGACAGCAGCTCTTAGTACTGCTAAGAATAAGCACAGTGACATCTCACCTGCAGTGAACACCCGCCCCAGTACTCTACCTAATGAGTCAGAGTACAGGTTTATGATGTTATTAATGGATCCTTATCCATTAGATACTGTTTTATCTCTTTTACAGCTACACAGAAGTAAATTCATGAGGCAACATGTCAAATGTGGACGGCAAAGTAAGCATTTCATTGTACAGGGAAACACGTTTCCTAACTGTGCAAATGACAAACACTTTGACTTGACTTGAAATGTAGCCAATGAAAGATGTTGGACAACAGTTGTGTCCAACTGCGCCCTCTCATGGTCTGACAGGGAAAAGCACTGGCAGGGTCCCATGCATCCTGGAAAACCTTGAATTTTTAAAACCAGTTTTCCAGTCATGGAAAGTTAAATTGTACAATTTCCTGGAAAAACACTTCCTGGAAGATATTCTTCACATTTTTATATTTTCTTTTTGTTGACAGCAAACTGTCAGATCTCAGTATGAGCTGGCAGCTGAACTTAGGGCAGTGTGTGAGATCAACTTGGAAAGGACAGGGTCGACGTTAATGGCCTGTTTCTGTTCGCTCTGAATGCCCTCAGCCGTTGGCTTGTAAATGCACCAGGTCACATCAGGTCAGTGAAGATGGTATGAATAAAATAAACATGAATGGAATGCCAGACAAGCAAGGACTGTGAGTAGCTTGGTAGTTGAAATGCAGACATTAATAACTGCTGGCTAGTAAGGTAGGACTTTATTGATCCCGCAATGGGGAAATTCCTCTGTTCCAGCAGCAACAATACAGCATAAGAACAGACACCACACACATATCTTGAGAAACAAATTCCAAAGTACCTAAAACCAAACGGAATATAGTATTTGAGAGACAATCAAGAACAAGAATAATCCTCCCACAATTAATCCCGGAGAACAAATCAAATACCTAAGAACAAGACAAGATATAGTATTCAAGAAATCAAGGACAAGAATATCACTCCCATAATTAATCCCGCAATGGGGGAAATACCTGTATTTCAGCCATGAGGATCTCTGAAGAACTACACAAAAATACCTAAAACAAGACAAAATAAAGTATTTGAGAGAAATCAAGAACAAGATTTTACACATGTGCATATTTACAATGCATTTTACCCCCAGGATTTGAGTATTGCAATGTTTACCATTCCGTAGTCCTCATAATTTCACATATCTTATCACTGCAGTGATGTATTCTACAGTCTGATAGCTGTGGGGAGGAATGACCTGCGGTAACACTCCTTCTTACACTAGGGATGTAACAGTCTTGTGCTAAAAGAACTGTTCAGAGCCTCTACTGCGTGGTGCAGGGGATGGGAGGGGTCGTGCATGATGGATGTTAGTTTTACCAGCATCCTTCTGGCCACCACCTCCTCGATGGAATCTAGGGGGCAGCCCAGGACAGAACCAGCTCTCTTAACCAGCTTGTTGAGCCTCTTTCTGTCCCTGACCGTGCTACCTCCTGCCCAGCCCACAACAGTGTAAAAAACTGCAGATGCCACTACAGTATCATAAAATGTCCGAAGGAGTGCCCCGCACACACCAAAGGGCCTCAGTCTCCTGAACAAGTGGCAAGTGGAGGTGGCTCTGGCCCTTCCTGTACAGGGCATCTATGTTGCTGGTCCAGTTCAGTTTATTGTTGAGGTGGACACCCAGGTATTTAAAGGTGTCCACAATCTCAATATCTGAGCCCTGAAAGCTCACCGGTGTGAGTGATGGTGATTTCCGCCAGAGGTCAGTCGTTTAACTTCAGTCACCTTTAACATTTAATTCTCCATCACTTGCTGGATTATCATTTACTTTAACATTAGTTGGTTAGCAATGGAAATGGACATTTAGCAGGACAAAGAAAACTGCAGAAAGTAAAGCTCACACATTAATTGTAGCATACTAGCAGTCATACTTGGAGGCACTGAACATGTGCATGTGTGTTTATATTATAGTTAATATTTATAGGAGACTTTCACACAGAGAAACTTGTTAGTCTAGTACGTAATCGCCACTTGACATCACAGGCTTACATCATTGAAGTGGTCCTGAACATTTTTTCTTGAAAAGACTGGGAACGCTGATTGGGAATCAGGTTTTCTTTGACTCCATTTAGACACAGAACATTTTTTTTGTTTCCTATTATTTTCTGATGTGTTGTATGTGGCAGCCAACCTTCTCGCCAACACCATCAAACACACAGGTACAATGTGAATGTTCAGTTGTGGATTTAAGTGCTGCATTAGCTTCCTGCCATGCAGCTGTTCAGGGAAAGGAACCAAAACCCAGTGACGTCTTCATATTGTTTATTTAGTTTGACCAACTGGTAATTGATGCTAAAATCCATCAGGATATCCACGAATTCTCTTCAGGTGCTTGGTAAAAATTACCTGCATTAAAACACACACAAATGCCTGAAAACTTGGTCCCCAGATGCTTCGTCCTGCATGGATAACACAACATTTCGACCATGAAACCTCTTCCTCAGGTAACTTGAAGACAGTGAGGAAGACTGCTTGTTGTTTGTGAGATGCTGTGGAACGCTCTAGTGAAAATGGAAATAAGCTCTTCAGAGAAAACCTCATCTAATACTCCTTCAAATCATTTCCAACTTGAATGACCAAAGAGAAAATAAACCATTTTAAGATTTTTAAATATCACTGAGACAATGTTTCTGAAACATGTACTGGTAAATAAAAATATTATGTAATAATTATACTTCATGGTTGTTTTTGTGTTTCAGTGAACGAGATCATCGACAGGGACATCAGCAGTCTGAGCAGCAGCACCCAACCTGACCAGTACCACCAGTACGACTGGGAGCACAAGCCCAGTGACACTGCCTTACCGTTCTGTGGAGACCCCCAGTAGCTCTGCTGCCCCCTCAGGAGACAGCACAGCAACGCCACGGTCACATCTGCACAAAGTGCCTGAGCACCAGTCAGCAGCCTCGACAGCTCATTTCATCAGGGTACCACATCACATGACTGTTTCCTCTTCTGGCTCAGGAGGTTCAGTGCAAGACTGACTCACGACGAACCAAAGATTTAAATTTCATGACCAAATTGGAAGAATTCTAGTCCTCACCAAAAGGGCTGTAAATAAACCACAATCAGTCACGACATTACAGAGACATAGGCCGCACAAAAATGACAGATCCTGTCATTATTTATTGGTCAGGTAACTAAGAAATGTTATTTTGATACTCTGGATCTGGGCCAGTTATAGCCGACACCCTGGACATTTTTTATAGCTTGGTTTACATTTCCTTTGCTGAATTACTGCTGTTTCGGCTCTGGGCTGTTCGGTGTGAAACTGAAGATAGTGACTTATTCTAAGGTGTAAGGTTGAAGTAAAAAGAAAAGGAAATACTGTGTTTTGTAAATTAGTTTATTGTTGTGTGAGCTTGACTCGATAAACGTTTTAGGATGAGCAACATCAACAACTGAGCCCCTGGTATTTATGTCACCTGACACCCGAGGCAGTAACACTTCATTACAACAAGGTCAGCGGTCAGAGCAGGTAATAGTACTGAGCTGGAGGACACGGGAAATCCGCTCTACAGTACTAAGCAACATTCACCAAGTGTTGCAGCCGCTTTTCTTAAGATAAATAGGTTTATGTTCAGTCACCAAACACTGGCCACAATACACCATCCGCTTTTAAAGCTCAATAACCAAAGGTGCAAAAGACAATTTACCAGTTTTGTTCCAGATATTACACAGTGAGATTATAGAGGTATCATTTCAGCACCCTCAATACGTTGTTAATGATATTCAGCTGCTTGTTTTCATTTTTCCTCTTATAAGAAGCAAAGCTGCGGAGTCTTCCAGTGTCACCTCACCAGTCTCTGAGTGTCTTACCTGGAGTTTCATATTTGTATTTATTCCTCTGACAATAACTTCCCATATTAGGGTTTAATGCCGTTTCACAGGCTCCTATCAGTAAACTTCTGGTGAACTTGGATCTGAGTCAGCTTGTTAAAAAATGCTCCACGTGCGAGGTCTTAAATTGTACATCAATCAAGAACCAGCCACCTGATGTCTTGTCTTGCTGACTCCATGTGTGCAAACATCATTCATCAGTTTTTTTCCCTAAGATTCAGTATTTATCTGCTCTTTAAAATCTTTGTCTACAACTCTATGGAAACCAGATGTTGTTTGATCTGGAACTTAAGTGATCATCACTGACCTCATACTTGTTGTCCCCTGATGCCCTTCTGTACAGATGAGCCTAACAGCAGCGTTGTGCTGCCCTGTGTGTCTAAAGGTTGCAAATCTGTTTTTAGCTCCGTCATGGTTAGTGTTAGATCCCAGTGCTCTGGAGCAGATTCTGGGGGAAGTGAATTGTTACCTTAATCTAAACCATGGGAGCTAATGTATACCCATCCAACATCTCTGGTAGATGTGGTCAGTGATGTGCTTTGTTGCATCTGTTACCACGCTAACAGTGATTTCATAAGGCAAGTCCTTAAACCAGTAGAGGACAGTAAAGGCGAGACTTTCAGTTCTGACAACTTAAGAAAAGTTAACCATCATCACTATGTCTACTTTAAAACAGCTTCTGTTTGATGCACAGAGTGAGGATCAGACTGATCCAGTTCCTCAGTCATTTAAAAAGCTGCTGGTCCGGGTCTGTCTGAACAAAGCACAGCTCCTCCACAGCGGACCTTGACCCCGTCCTCCAGCAGCTGTTTGTGCAGGTGTAAACCAGGACTGTCCCAAACTCCAGCTCCACCTCAGCACCGCTGTCCTTCCTCTGCAGCAGACTGACCAGAGCCGGCATCAGCTGCAGCTCAAAAGTCCTGGACCCTCCACAGGAACCACACGCTGAAACCACCTCAGCCATGTTGGATGGTGGCTCGGAGATGAAAAGTGGATTTCCGCCGTGACAGTAGCGTAAGATTTGTTGTGGACATGCTGAGATCTTCTTCATGAACCTGGAGAAAACGGCGTCTCCATGTCTGGCTCTGGCTTTCTCATACTTCTCCGCTGTGCTGCCGCCTCCCTCACTGACATCCATTGCTCCTACTACCACCCCCTCTCTCCTCTCGTACGCCCTCAGCAGCTCCTGGGCGTGCTCCAGCTCATCGTCCTCACCACACAGGTCTGATTCATCTGCCACGCTGATGAAGAATGGGCAGAAAACAGGGACGTCCTCCTGGGAATCTCCCAAAGTGAGGTCCTGCAGTCTGGTGCTGACATCCACCTCACTGCACGTAGGACCTGCTGCTGACCAGATTACATTGTTAAACAGGATGTGCTTAGATGTGAAGTTTAACACCTGGACGTACAACTGCTTCACAAAGGATTCATCCCTCCACTTTGCACAATTTATTGTTTTGTAGATTTACTGTGAAATGGATTACATCATTTGAACAATCAAAAACCCACACTGACAAAGTGAAAGAATGTTTTTATAAGTTGTTGTTCTTTCATGACATAAAGTCTTAAGGTAGTGCAGATCTAAATCCTCCTGCCTGAGAGAGCAAAGAATCCCAGCCTTCACTTCTTCTCACTATATGAACAAAGCTTCAGGTTGCACTCTGTTACCAGGCAAAGCTAACACACCACAGGTGGCATGGGCATGTTTTACAAAGGGTGCACAACTGTACCTGCAGGATTTATAACATCACCGCTAAGGTGAAGCCAATCACGGGCTGGTGTGAAACCTGCATAGTGTGATGTAGAAACTTCATACACTGAGAATGGTCTTAAGTGAGAGGGACAGTTCAACTTCTGAAATGAACAATTTACATAGTTATAGGTTCTCGATTTTCTGACTAGAAGATGTAATTTAACATCATTTAATTTGGAGAGGTGACAGTGATGCGGTGGGTAGAGCAGTCACCTCCCAACCAGAAGGTTCAAGGTTTGAATCTCGGTGCCGGAAACAAATTCCTTGTGTGTAACATACTTGGCCAATAAAGGTGATTATCCTTATTATTATTTCAGTGGGAAAACCAGACATATGTTTACTTGAAGCAGAGTATTTTTCATATAGCATGTCAGTCAGTAGAGTAAGTATTTTAAGAAAGATGCAGTGTTTCACAATATTGACTGTTGACATGTCAGCAGATTTTGTTTTCCCGCCTCCTAACATTACAAAATGAAACTGTAAACACCAACGTTACCTTTTGCCTCAGAAGCTACTGCTGCGGCTTCCCTCGCCCCTCTCCGCCCATCTCCACCCTCCTCCTCCGTCCCCCAGTCGTCCGCGGTGTCACACCAGTCAGTGGCCGACAGAGGAGACTCCTGAGCCGGCGCGGGCCAGCTGGCTATAAGCGCAGCTGCAGCCTCAGTCTCTAGGCCCTGAGAACGGAGCACCCTCCAGCTCTCTGCACGGCTGATGCAGTCGGCACCTGGGCATGCGAACAGGTGGAGGTTTCTGTGGTAAGGGGAGAACTCCAGGGGGCAGTACACCTGCACCACGTGTGCTAGCGGAGCTCTGCAGTGACCACATCGGGGAGACTGCCGGGAGATGACCGGCAGCCAGTCCGGTCGACCCCCGACTTTGTTGGTCAGATATGAGGAGCGGTATCTGTTTGGGTCGAGGTCCCCATCACACAGACCGATCAGCGTTTGCTCGTGACGGAGGGCAGCCATCTTTCATATGGCGGAAACACTACCCGGAACTGATTAAAAATCTGACGTCCGTCACCCAAACATGACCGCCGTCTTGTGGAAGTTGTAAAATGTTATAAAACATATAATTACTAATATATAATCTAATAAACGCAACAAGACGCCTAATATGACAATCACAAAATATGTACCTTTGTAAAAATATGCTTTCCCCTTTAGAGGTTCTCAGGTTTTATAAGCAGCAAATAAATATATTTTTAAAGTCTGCAGACTTGTTGAAACACTGCAAAGTTTAATTTTCAGTTTGAAATATTTCAAATAAATAGGTATACACCTGCAAGCCACTGTTTCTACAAAAGGTTTTGGTGTTGCCCAATTATCACAGACAACAGAACTGTGCCCAACAGGCCCGTCACATATTGCAGCAGAAAAAGGCCACCAGGGACAATGTTTCAAGAACAGCAAAGGGAAAATTAACCGGTGCCATTACATCCAAACCTTACTGGTTCACACCCAGACTCTGAGTCCTGCTAGGTACCTTCAGGTTCCAGCAGCGGTGGATTTGTGAAAGAATGTGTGAACTTGTTGAGCAACAACCTGGCCCACGATGGGCTCCAGCTCAGTGGGGGTTGTGTTGCAGAGCTGCTGGATGCTGGAGAAGTGCTGCAGCAGGGCCAGAGCTTTGACCCTGCCCACCCCGGGGACCTGCTGGACCAGAGACAGGGCTAGGGGGTCCAATGGTCGAGATGAAGTCCTCCTCCTGAAGGGGTTCTCTCTGCCCTCCCCCTGAACCTGGATGCAATCAGAGCAGGTTGGAAAGTCTGTTTTGGCCCTAGAGTCTATTGCTATGAGAGGTTTAAACAAGACAGCTGAGTTATACCTGTTCTCCACCAAAGGTCTGTGTCTGACTTCCTCCAGAACTGCTGAACATGAAGGATTTTCTACCCTACACATGCAGGTTGCGACATCTGCACAATTTGATCTTTTTCAAGAAATATAGCTCATTGTCTGAATTTCTGGTCCTTAAATTACAGTAGGGTGAGACTAAAAACTTAGATCAGTAGTTATCACCATCGTGTCTACTGGCTGTGATCAGTTCAACCAAGGTGTGATTTTAATCCCTGTTTTATTTCAATACTTATTAGAGATTCAACTGATTTGTGTGTTTAAACAAACTTGGCAAGTAAAGCAGAGTCCTCTGTGCAAGGGTGCTGCTGTAGCGGCATAGGGGGTCTCAAATGGAAAAACGGGCCACCTTATGTGCAGTACTAATATTTGTTCAAACTCAACCAGACTAACACATTTATGTTAACATGTAAACCAGGGGTCTCCAACCTTGTTTACTGAGGGACCTACTTTGGGGAAAAAATCAAAGCGGCTGAGAGACATTCATGTTTTATATTAGGCTACTAGTTACATTAATCACATACTATATCAAAACTTTTAAACAAATCTCCAAACCAAACCAGCTGAATAAGCTAACTGTTTTGTGTAACCAGTTATCTTTAGCACAATCAACAAAGGAGGCGACTAAGGCAGGCTACTTAAAATCCCCTGATGCCCGACCACTACAATTTGATTAACAAAAGACTTGAAACATTTTGGGTTGCTTACACATTCCAAGGACATCACAATTTCAGATGTCTGCTACAAATAAATGTCCACAACCCCTCTTAGAAATCATAGAATACAGACTTATGATGCCACTATTTGATGGAACATCAAACCGCTGTGTTGACAGCTGCTGTACATCAAGTGGTACGCAGCGAGTTTGGTGCAGTGTTACTTACTTTACTGAAATGTAGCCTAAATGTGCTGCAGACCGCAGCACAACTAACTGTGCCCACAGCAAATACTGGTCTGGCTTAGGTTTGTTCACTTTACTGCACTTTGGATGGAGTTCACCGAGGAATAAAACTGTCTTTTCTGAAAACATTGTCACTTTGTTTTTACACAAGACTGTGTGTCAGAGAAACTGCTGTCAAAGAGGTGCAAGCGACACTGACTCTAGATGCCACAACACTATCTTAATAACAATGGGCAGAGGAGAATCAACCAATCTGACAGTTTTGACAAATAGAACTGGTCTTGTCCTCCTTACAATTTGAGTGATGAGCTGTGAGGCCTCTGTTTGTCCACTGACTGGCAGCAGGGTCAGGCCCAGGTCCAATACCACAAACTTCTGCACTGCAGAGAAGTGCTGCTCACTCAGCCCGGTGCTCTCCACCAGCACCAGCTGCTGGAAACGGCTGCTGGCCTTCAGAACAGGAGGGACACAACAGCTCACATCAGACAGTGACACGTACAGAAGCTTTGACAGAGGTCTTTTTCATTAAACTCACATTTCTGTAGCGAACCAGCTTCCTCTTGTAGCAGTTTCCCGCTATAATGTCGCACTCAGACACGTAGAGGATGCAGGCTTTGTTGGGCAGGTGAAAATCTGCCACACCGAGCTCATTCTCAAAGAGGATCTTCACACCTCCACCTACAGCACAAATACAGCTTCTCCATTTGTTTACATTCAGACAGTGCAATGACTCAGGAGATGATCGACACATGGCAGGTTATATTGACTTTATAACAAAGTTTAATTTCATTCAGAGTACTGAATTAAAGACTGTAACTATCTGAAACAGGACAGCTGAACACACCAGAAGGTATCTCGGTCATTTTTGAAGGGAAAAGACCTTGAATATCGACAGTTTTCAGCGGTGCTTGGAGTCCTTGTTCTCGCCAGTTTACAATGAACGACACAGGCCAATGTTAACGTTATTTTAGAAGTTTGTTATTGTGGTGTTTCAATAAATCCATTATTTACCCTTTAAGCTCTGAATCAGTGCCGAATTTCTCCATGTATCGCTAGCAATAACGTGCCCGTACGGAGGAACAGCGTTCAGCACAACAGGCTCCATCACTGAACTGTATCTCCGTCTAAATATGGCTCAAAACATTTTACTTTTTTTTTTCTTATGTCACTTCCTCTAGATAGTGTTAACTGCGTAACATAACTGTATTCTTGTAGCATAATGCAACTATTAACCTCCGAACGTCCAAATCTCTTCTTCTGGTCTCAGCGCAGGTAAAGGAGCCGCATGCCTCCCCCTACAGGACAGGAAGGAAACACCCCGCCGGGGGGCATCGACACAGATTTTCTTCACCTTGACCACCTACAGATTCATACCCAACTTTAACCAAAAGATCCACAGAAAAAGAATTGTTATTATTTATTAGGGTTTTGGTCAACAAGAAAAGTTAGAATTGCAATTATTTTACACAAAAAAGCATGAAGCATAAGGAATGCTGGAATCTAACACATTTTCAGACAAAAAAGGATATGGCCTTTAACCAAATCATCCCACTAAGTTCAGTCATCTCAAAACTCTCAAAGGGTGATGCACAAGAGAAGAAGTGATTTTTTTTTATGTTAAACTTTGGACATACTGGATTAAAACCAACCCTTTATTTAATGTCAAGTGGTGTCTCTAAAAATGTGATGTTTGTGGTGTTCATGAAGATGTAGAGCATATCATAATGAAGTGTAATAAATATATTTTGGAGAAGAACATCTTATGTGATAAGATATGAGTTAGGATGGGGGTGGAATCCGCAAGGAATTTTGGGTATGGGGGAAAAGATGTGGGAATGTACTAAGAGTATTTACATTTGTCAAAGTTACGGGATTAGAAAGTAGGATATACTCGGTGTGTTTTTTAAATAAACCCTGATGTACATAAACGTTGACGTGATACGCTCCGGTGCAGCAGGTGGCGGTATGCACCTAAATTCGTTGGTTTGTGACCCACCATTAAGCTAAGACAAGAAGACGAAAGTTAAAGCTTCATTTGGAAAAGCCTCTTCTTCGAAGTCATAGGTAATATCACTATGCGTTACGTTGGTTGATGATCGCAATTACAAACTTCAAGAAGGAGAAGTTCGTCATCAGTCTCTTTCTCCCATTAGTCGGACTTTGGACATAATTTAATTCGGTATAGACTGCACTGAAAACGCGGCCCTTTGGCGGTTTATTTTACGTGTTTCTCTCTGAAGTCTGCTAAGCAAGTGCCAAAGGCTAATGTTCTGACTGCTGCTTCCTGTAAGCAGCTGCTGTGAAAAGTGTTGTCAGTGTCATGCCAAAGCCAGGGTGACCGGAAGGACCCGCAGGTAACAGGCAAATAATTAATGTCAGTAACCCTCTTCTGCTGGCGGGCAGTGTTCACATATCAGCGAGCTAACGCTAGCGTCCCAGCAGGGCTAATGCTAGCTACAGTTTATAGTTATGGGTGGCAAAACCAGGTTGTTGTTTGTAGCTAACGGGCTAATTTTTTAAAACTTCCGGTCCTCAGCTCTGAAGCTGAGTCACGTCAAAGCTTAAAAGCGACCAACCGGCGTGTGGCTCTTTCCACTGCCTTATACATAGTGCATGAAAGTGGCGTTGGAAGACAGTGACTTGCTTCTGAGCATCAAAACAAGGAGCACAACTGCAGCGCGATGTGTAGTTGAAGAACACTATTAAAAACTTGACTATATTCCAGGTATTATTTTATATTTTATTTGCTGTAACTTTTGTGTGTCTGCTGGCAAGCTTCATTTTAAAGTGGAATAGCAGTTTGCTGCACCTCACTTGGAACCAATTTTTTTTTTGATTGGAAAACCTTTTAACCTTTATTGGTTGGGTATCAGGCTCATGTTTTTTTTTTCTTTTACCTTTACTCTGTTGCAGAGGGTTTTGATAGTCTGACCCTTTGTTACAGTTATGTGTTGGGAAACAAAAGGACCGTAGCCATAACATAAGCAATCTTGAAATGGATCATTTGTTAAATATTGTGTGACAAAGACATTTTACAGTCCTATAACTTAAATTACCATTATACTCTGATCATTTTAAGATTAATATTAGAATCTTTAGTGGCCAGGCATGAGCATAGAAGGAAATTGGCTCCAGTTCAGATGTGTTCCTTGTGTTTGTAAGTCAACATGAAATAGAAAATACGATGAAAATGACGGCAAAAATGAAAAAAAAAGTGTGCATTCAAATAGGGAGTTTGTGGAATCAAAAATAGGAATGAGGAAAAAGGTGACAGTCTTCTTCTTCTTCTTTCAGCTGTTCCCGTTAGGGGTCGCCACAGTGAATCATCTGTTTCCACCTAACTCTATCCTTGGCATCCTCTACTCTCACCCCAGTTACCTTCATGTCCTCTTTTAACACATCCATATATCTCCTCTTTGGCCTTCCTCTTGACCTCTTGCCTGGCAGCTCCATCTCCAACATCCTTCTACCAATATAACCACTATCCCTCCTCTGCACATGTCCAAACCATCTCAATCTGGCCTCTCTGACCTTGTCCCCAAAACAGCCGACCTGAGCTGTCCCTCTGATGTGCTCATTCCTAATCCTGTCCATCCTGGTCACTCCTAAAGAGAACCTCAACATCCTCATCTCTGCTACCTCCATCTCTGCCTCTTTTCTTTTCCTCACTGCTACAGTCTCTAACCCATACAGCATAGCTGGTCTCACTACTGTCTTGTACACCTTTCCTTTGATTCTTGCTGCCACTCTTCTGTCACACAACACTCCTGGCACCTTTCTTCACCCACTCCAACCTGGACTC